CACCTCAGTGGCCACTGGGTCACCTCAGGGGCCACTGGGACACCTCAGGGCCACCGGGTCACCTCAGGGGCCACCGGGACACCTCAGGGCCACCAGGACACCTCAGTGGCCACTGGGACACCTCAGGGGCCACCAGGACACCTCAGGGGCCACCGGGACACCTCAGGGCCACCAGGACACCTCAGTGGCCACTGGGTCACCTCAGGGGCCACCACAGCCCTGCCTGGGCCACTGGGACACTTCAGAGGTTTTATCGAGCTTTTATTGAGCTCTTATCCAGGGTTTTTAGAGCTTTTATTGAGGTTTTTTAGGGTTTTTTAAGAGCTTTTATTGAGTTTTTTTTTTTTTTAGAGCTTTTATCGAGTATTTTTAGAGCTGTTATTGAGGTTTTTTAGGTTTTTTTTTTAGAGCTTTTTTTGAGGATTTTTAGCGGTTTTTTTAGAGCTTTTATCGAGGTTTTTTAGAGGTTTTATCCAGGTTTTTTAGAGCTTTTATTGAGGTTTTTTAGAGGTTTTATCGAGGTTTTTTAGAGGTTTTATCGAGGTTTTTTAGAGATTTTATCCAGGTTTTTAGAGCTTGTATCGAGCTTTTATCCAGGGTTTTTAGAGCTTTTATTGAGGTTTTTTTTTTAGAGCTTTTATCGAGTATTTTTAGAGCTGTTATTGAGGTTTTTTGGGTTTTTTTTTAGAGCTTTTTTTGAGGTTTTTTTAGCGGTTTTTTTAGAGCTTTTATTGAGGTTTTTTAGAGGTTTTATCGAGGATTTTTAGAGATTTTATCCAGGTTTTTTAGAAGTTTTTTCGAGCTTTGATCGAGGTTTTATCGAGGTTTTTTAGAGGTTTTATCCAGGTTTTATCCAGGGTTTTTTAGAGCTTTTATCGAGCTTCTATTGAGCTTTTATCCAGAGTTTTTAGAGCTTTTATTGAGTTTTTTTAGGGTTTTTTTAGAGCTTTTATTGAGGTTTCTTTTAGAGCTTATATCGAGTTTTTTAGAGCTGTTATTGAGGTTTTTTAGGGTTTTTTTAGAGCTTTTATCGAGGTTTTTTAGAGGTTTCATCCAGGTATTTTAGAGGTTTTATCGAGCTTTTATTGAGCTCTTATCCAGGGTTTTCAGAGGTTTTATCCAGGGTTTTTAGAGCTTTTATTGAGGTTTTTTTAGCGGTTTTTTAGAGCTTTTATTGAGGTTTTTTAGAGCTTTTATCGAG